TAAAAACTGGATTGGAAAGGAGGTAAGTCCTTGCAGATAGTATTTTAGTAGGGATCTTTTATACAGGTAGTCCCTAATTTATGGCCAGTCATTTAACAACCATTAGATTATTGTGATGGCTGGAACCAAAGGTTGGGCTCAGAAAGGATGTTTTACAATCCATAAATTACTTTCCACCATTAAAAGTTCTCCCACCTGCAGTCACGTGATTATCATCTGGATGCGTGGCAACCTATTTGCACTTACAGCAAGTTGCCAATCCCCCTAATGACTGTGTGGTTGCTTAATAACCACAAGTAGGAGAGCTGAGATTGCAGTCATTGAATGAAGCAGTCACATGAGCATCTCATTAATGACCGCTCCATTCAACAACTGAGATTCCTGTTCCGGTTGTTGTCATAAATCAAAAGACTGCTTACCTCTGTTCCACGTTAATTGGTTCATTGTCTTCTGTGCTGCTGACAGATTTGTGTAGGATGGGACTGTCTCTAGAGTTCTGCAGCTTCCATCCCACAGCTTGAATATTGAACTCTTCAGAGGAAAAAAAGACAAGAACAGCCAGGCTAGCATCTAATTGCAAGGGAGAGAACTAAATAATATCTATTAAATCCTCCTCCGAGAAGCACTACTGATTTTGTCAAGCTTTATTTAAAATGCTTGTGTGAGGCTAAAAATAAGCAACTGGAATTTTTCAATGTGGGGACTCTTAACAAGACTTGGTAAGAGAATTGCATCTCCACATCATTAACTGTAGTCCAATTTAATTCAACATCTCCCCCCCTCCCACTTTCCAGCATTTTAAATGCTTTCATTTAAAAACAAATATATTAAAATCTCAGAACCGGACACAAAACTAGCTTGCTAACAAAAAACCTTTGTATTTTCATTTGACACTTGGAGCCCAGTAGAGAACATAAAAAGTAGAATTAATTACTCTGATTGCTTGGGTCCCAGAGGTTTACCACATGGAACCTTAGAATAGAATAGAATAGAATAGAATTATTTATTGGCCAAGTGTGATTGGATACACAAGGTGCAGATGCTCTTAGTGTACATAAAAAGACAAGATACATTCGTCAAGAATCATAAGGTACAACATTTAACATTTAATGATAGTCATGGGGTACAAATAAGCAATCAGGAAACAATCAATATCATTATAAATCGTAAGGATACAAGCAACACAGTTCCAGTCCTGCAGTCATAAGTGGGAGGAGGTGGGTGATAGGAATGATGAGAAGACTAATAGTAATAGTAATGCAGACTTAGTGAATTTTTTGACAGTGTTGAGGAACTTATTTGTTTAGCAGAGTGATGGTGTTTGGGGAAAAAACGTTCTTGTGTCTAGTTGTCTTGGTGTGTAGTGCTCTATAGCATCGTTTTGAGGGTAGAAGTTGAAATACTTTATGTCCAGGATGTGAGAGATCTGTAAATGTTTTCACAGCCCTCTTTTTGACTTGGCCAGTATATATGTCCTCAATGGAAGGCAGGTTGGTAGCAATTGTTTTTTTCTGCAGTTCTAATTATCCGTTGAAGTCGGTGTCTGTCTTGTTGGGTTGCAGAGCCAAACCAGACAGTTAGGGAGGTGCAGATGATAGACTCAATAATTCCTCTGTAGGACAGAATCATCAGCTCTTTGGGCAGTTTGAGCTTCCTGAGTTGGCGCAGAAAGAACATTCTTTGTTGTGCTTTTTTGATGACGTTTTTGATGTTAGGTGTCTTGGGATATGATAGAAGCTAGACATTTGAAGGTGGTTTGTTGATACTGTGTTGTCTACCATTGTAAGAGGTGGTAGTATGGGAGGGTTTCTCCTAAGTCTACCACAATTTCTACGGTTTTGAGTGTGTTCAGTTCCAGATTGTTCCGGTCACACCACGAGGCTAGTTGTTCAACCAACCTAAGATTTTGGCTATGTATAGTCAAAAGAGTTTTACTCTACAAGCTTCCAGGGAAGGGCAGCTTTTTAAAATTTTAAGCTTTCTTGTGTATGAAACAATGAACTTAATTAAGTACAATCTTGAATACAGAGCCGTAACCTTTCTGCTTAGAGCTATGGAAAAAAGTTATTTACCACAAAAGGGTGGGGGGGGGGCACTCTTTATCTGCTGCTATCTTGCTTGTAACTAGTGCTGAAATTATGTCTTGAATTTAGATTGTGTGTGTGTGTGTGTGTGTTTGTGTGTGTGTGTGTTTATAGTCCTGTCTTCTGTTGTAGCTGTGTCAAGTGATCAGCAAGTGTACAGAAGTTCAGGTTCCCTTTCATTTGCAGTGACCTCAGTGTTCATTGTTGAGCTGCGTGTAATCCATACAAGAGATGTGCACTTAGTTGAATATCTGATCTGAGTGGGACAGGCATTCTTGGCTGCTGTGTTGAGAATAAGGGAACACCTTGTATTTCTTAGAACAATCGTTTCCTACTTGGTTTTGTTTTAGTGTTCTCTTGCAGACTGACTCGTCTTCCCTAGAAACTCCTGCATGATAGAGGTTTCTTTTATGGGGCTGAGACTACGTAGCACTTCCCCTGCTTCCTCTCATCTTGTAGTCAGCTCATAGAAAGGAGCATCCTGAATGTTGCAGACATCATCTTTGGGGGAGGGGGGTTGTCTTGTAGTTGTTCTTTACAATTCAATATTTTCAGCTCAGGCATTTGTTAGGCATGTGGCCTTCCACTCCCAAAATACTCCACCACCATAGCTGTTGCTGAAAAGTTGTGGTTAACAAAATAATCTCAGACCCTGTTCTACATGTCCCAACAACATGGAACCACCAGATCTGGTTCGATTAATTGGAGGAAATATTGGTGGGCTACACTGAATTAGCAATAAACCAAAATTCTCGCAACAGGAACTTGATGGAATTGCTGACACAAGGTGGTGTTATTTCTAGCCTTGTGGGTTTTTTTTGTTTGTTTGTTTCTGCTAGTGGAGCAAATAACTGCCTTCCCCACCCATCTCAGATTTCAGAGCCCAATGAGAATGCTCAGCTCAGGTGCTTCTGCCACACCTTTATCTGCAGACTGTCGTCTTTATGCCCCCCTCCAAGCTTTGGGAAGTATAGACTCTTGGCGAGTACAAAACCTTGTTGCTGTCAAGAATGAGGAAATGCAAATATCTCTAGCTGACACTATTAAAACAGCCCTTTTAATTTCTAGGAAGACGTGGTGGCTCAGTGGATAAGATGATGAGTGTGTCGATCAGAAGGTTGGCAGTTCAGCGGTTTGAATCCCCAGTGCCGCGTAATGGAGTGAGCTCCCGTTACTTGTCCCAGCTTCTGCCAATCTATCAGTTCGAAAGCACGTAAAAAATGCAAGTAGAAAAATAGGAATCACCTTTGGTGGGAAGGTAACAGCGTTCCGTGCACCTTCGATGTTTAGTCATGCCGGTCACATGACCACAGAGACGTCTTCGGACAGCGCTGGCTCTTTGGCTTTGAAACGGAGATGAGCACCGCCCCCTAGAGTCAGGAACAACTAGTGCATGTGTGCGCGGGGAACCTTTTTAATTTCTAGGGCTGGATCAGGGTCCTAATTTTTTTTTTGAAAGCCTACCTATAGCTTAGGTTTTCTATGTCTCTTTAAAATGCCTAACACTCTAATATGACCTCCTCTACCTGTTAATTTTTACTGAAGTGGTCCTTGTTAAAAACAAAAATGATAAGAACCAAGCTCTTCCTCCTGGTGCTCTTGTATATTTCCACCGCTAAGTTCAAAGGCCAAGAATAGTTACAAATACAAGGTGGTGGGAAGACTGGCTTTTAATCCCCTCTTACAAATACATTTGCAAAAGGAACAGGAGCCTAAGTGAGCTCAAACTGGCAAATATCATTCTGATCCTACCCTCACTTTAGTTATTCTTGGAGTGGTTTAAAGAGGGAACTGAACTTTATTGTATTTTGATTCTGGTCTGTTTATGCTACTTAAGAAACTGGGTATGCCTAGTTTAATGAAAAGAAGGACTAGGGGAGACATGATAGGAGTCTTCCAATATTTCAGGGGCTGCCACAAAGAAAAGGGAGTCAAGCTATTCTCCAAAGCACCTGAGGGTAGGACAAGAAGCAATGGGTGGAAACTAATCAAGGAGAGAAGCAACTTAGAACTAAGGAGAAATTTCCTGACAGTTAGAACAATTAATCAGTGGAACAACTTGCCTCTAGAAGTTGTGACTGGACGTTTTTAATAAGATGTTGGATATCCATTTCTCTGAAGTGGTGTAGGGTTAAGCAGGGGGTTGGATTAGAAGACCTCCAAGGTCCCTTCCAACTCTGTTACTCTATTCTAAGTGAGGTTTCTTCAGTTGGGAGGAACAGGCTAGCCATATGCCAATTACCTTGGTAATTATCAGTTAAAAAGCACTTGCTTTTTCTGTGTGCCCGATATTTACCCACAGACTTTTGGAATGTTTTTCTTCTAATATTTAGGGAGAAAATGGGCAGAACGTTATTTGTTCAAGCATGATTGACTCTGTAGTATCAGAACTTGGGTTATGCTACATATTTTCATTCTGGGGAAAGAGAAAGATTGAAATTTTAATTGCACAGATTGGTCTGTGAGACATGAAGGTTCCTGAGCTGGTACAGGGGCTTGAAGGTTATGGAGTTTACCTAATTTGGGAAAACAATGACAAGGAATTGTCAAGAGAAGTTTGTTTAGCTGGATGGTTGCCAACGTATATTTCAATAGATTTCAGTGTAAAACAGACTTTGGGTTGAACATCCATGGAAACCATGGCCAATCTATCTGGTTGTGTATTTACCCAAGTATCCCCGGAGAGTTTGATTGTGTTGCAGCAAATCATGCCGCTGTTCTTTGCGGTCCTAAGGCCCACTTGACTAACCGTAACAATGGATCACTAATGAAAAAGAGTAACACACGAGACTTCATCATACCTTGGGAAGGTTTGTGCAATATCTCCCACTATAACAGTTGGACAGCTGTCTCACCCTTTACTGATTGTAGGTTTTGGGGAATAATGTCAGATTTCTCTTATGTTACTCTCTGCAGAAAGATTTCAGAGTTCAAGAGCTCCCATTGGCACGCATTAAGAAGATCATGAAACTAGATGAAGATGTGAAGGTAAAATTTCTGGCACTTAACATGTAAACCTCTAAAATTTGTTCTAAGTATATTGGACTTCCCTGCATGCTTCCTTGGAGGTGGTCTTATTTTCAAATTAAAAACTAAACATAGACTGGCTTGGAGTTGAATGGAAACTTAAGATGCAGCACAGGCTGCTGCATTGATACTGCCATGAGAGACGTTGTGGCAAATGAGGGTGGGCAATGGCAGTGGGGGGGGGGAGGGAGATAGGTGGGGTACCAAGTGAAGATTACATTTTGGTTTGAAGAAAGTAAATTTCCATTTTGAAGTTGTTTGTCCATGTTTCACTTTTCCAGTTTGATTGTCCACTTGTTTTCTGGAAAGGAAGGAGTTGCTTTCTCTTTATTTTCTCTCTCTCTGAATATATGTGCCAAAGGAAAAGTTTTGCAATATAGCAATAGCATTTAGACTTACCGTATATACCCCTTTACAGTGTTTTACAGACCTCTCTAAGTGGTTTACAGATTTAGCACATTGCCCCCAACAATCTGTGTCCTCAATTTTACCGACCTCGGAAGGATGGATATCCTTCCGAGGTCGGTAAGGCTGAGTCAACCTTGAGCCTGGTGAGACTCGAACTGCTGGCAGCCGGCAGTCAGCAGAAGTAGCCTGCAGTACTGCATTCTAAATACTGCGCCACTACGGCTCATATAACTGAAAAGCAACGTGGCATGCTAGGTTGATATGCTGTTATATGCTATTAAAAGTAGAACTATGGACATTGTTTAAATCATAGCTTTATGGCACATCTGAGGAATTGCTGGATTGAGCAGAAGCATCACTAGTCATTACTACAGGGAAGGGGTGGGGGAGTGGCTATCATTATCCGAGGGTCTTTAGTTCCTCGTAGGATCCCTGCTCCAGAGTTTGTCGAGTGTGAGTCCTTGCTGGTGAAGTTGGACCTTGCGGGTCAAGTGGGCTTGTTGCTAATGTACCTGCCTCTCAACAGCGTTGCAACAGCCCTCCCCTCACTCCTCGAGTCAGTAGTAATGACTAGT